TCAAACGCCGCTATCAGCACTGATTGAGCCTAAATACTGCAGATTGGGTTTCGCATGTGTTGAGGCTGAAGATCGAGTCCTTCTAGAGATTTATCCGAGAATTGTGCATTTGCTAAATCAAAGCCATTGGATTTTGCTGAGGAGAGGGGAGAGTGTGGATGATAGTCAATATCTGGCTTTGTTTAGATTAGTATTGATTAGTATTTATGGTTGGGTGGTGGGGAAAGAGACGATCGTAGATTATTTTTTCTTCAGAATTCAGATGAAACTCCTGAAAAGCAGAAGGAAATGACAGTAGCTATATATATATATATATATATATATATATATATAAAATATATATATATATTTTTTTTTTTGTGTGTTACACTACAGTTTTATTAACAAACTAGAGATGTTTACTTTAATGATCTGGAATCATTTAGGCACTTAGTGGGTGTTTTTTAAATTAGTTGATTAAACTAAATTATTCAATTAGTTGATTGGAATTTGTGGCTCAGTGGTAACAGCACTGTCGCCATACAGCAAAAAGGTCACTGGTTCGAGTCCCATCTGGGTCCGTGGACATTTCTGTGTGGAGTTTGCATGTTCTCCCCATGTTGGCGTGGGTTTTCTCAGAGTGCTCTGGTTTTCCCCACAGCCCAAACACATGCGGTACAGGTGAATTGAATAAACTAAATTAGTGTATGGGTGTGTATGAATGATTCCTAGTACTGGGTTGCAGGTGGAAGGGCATCTGCTGTGTAAAACATATGCAGGATAAATTGGTGGTTCACTCCGTGTGATTTTCTTTTTGAGCAATGCTATTCATGTTTCATTAGCTAAAATTGTAGCAGATTTTTACTAAAATTCTCTGCAGAAATAGCAAAAAACGTTCGCAGATTCCGTCTGGCCTTACGCATGACCCTGTGTTTCCCGTCTGTCACGTGCATATGAATGGAAGTCTATGGGAGGAAAAGCCCAGTGTGACCGCAGCTTTAGTGTGCTGTATTTATATGTGTGTAATCAGTACTTGAGCAGCATCAGCTGTGTGTTTGCAATCAGTCACGATCAGGAAACGGTTGTGTGTGTGTGTGGTGCATGACCGAATATGTAGTCATAGCATGGCAGATTTGTAGTTCGCGAGAATGTGAATGATGTCCAGCAATCTATGGTGGTTAGATCTCTGGTGATTGTGACAGTAATAATAATAATAATAAATTAGTATTAATAATATTATTGATATTTTAGAATTATTTTATGATTAACTGTTTATGTAATTTATTTTTGCTGTTGTTAATATTTAAATAAAAACACTTTTTATGCATTGTTTTGTTGTTTTTTGTATCTATCAGTGGCAAAAAAAATATTTTTTGTTTATTGCTTTTTCCGGATTGTCATTTAGTATCTTTATTTGTTTTATTTTCTTTTTAAATTTTATCTTATGGGCATTAAGCACAGGAAATGGCTTAGTTGAAGATCAGCAGACAATAGGAGATTCCTCTTTAATATAATTTAATGTAATAGTAATTACATTTAAAACAATTTTTTTCAGTTTTTCTTTAAATATACAAAAATAAATTATTTAAAAAATATGTATACAATGTTTTGTGATTGTTAGATATATCTATAAAACAAAACACATTTTCAACCTTGTCATCTAGTTGTAACAATGGAGATGAGGATCCACATGCAGTTTAATAATGTAGAGTAGTCAGGCAGGCAATGGTACAAACTGGGGCAGGAGGATAATCCGAAGAACGTGGTCAAAATAACAGGCAAATGGTCAGGACAGGCAGCATAACAACATAAACAAAACAAAACAAACAACAGGCAAGTGAAAGTGTGGTGTATATATAGTCCATGAAATCAGTGGGAACGAACAGCAGCTGTGTGTGTGTCCAAATGACTGACAGCTGTGGCAGGAGTGATTGGTGCAAAGCATCCTGGTAGTTGTAGTTCTTGTTGTGGCCAATGTGTAGTTCTCCAGCGATCTGCATAGGCTTATTTTTATTTTCATGCACATATTTATCTCCACACATTTCAAAACAGTTTCCTAAACTTGCATCATCCTGCTGCTTCATTTCATTTGAAATATTATCTAGCACAATGTACAACCTGCCAACAGAGCAGCTCTCATTTACTAAACATCGTCATTCACAAGGTGCTATCAGAAGTTCCAGCAGATATTATTTGACATTTTAATGCTAAATCCTGCAGGGAAATCAAATCCGAGACACTTTTCTCTCCCCTATCTGTTGCAATGCATATAAAAGAAGGCATTTTGAGTAATAACGCCGGATCTGATGCTGTTTCTACTACAGTGCTTAACTTTCTGGATCCAGAACAAGTGGAAACCGCTGAGGCGTCCCAGGACAGACTGTCTCTGTTTTGTCCTGCAGTGCGCATGCAGTGTCTCTGCCGTTTATCTTCCACTGCAACCTTTAACATCCAGACTCTGTCTTTCATTATTTAAATGCAAAGCCATCCATCTCATTATTAAAAGAGCCGTCCACCAAGCTTATTGGTTCCGAGAGGTCTTAACCTTGTTTTATTTTAACTTGCTTCATGGTCATTTATTTGATAAGAAGCTTCTAGTTTGAAGTTCCTCATAATAATACTCACGCTGTGAAAATTGCATTTGAGTTTTCCTTAAAAGCTGCACCTTCCAACATCACAGACGGAAGGATTTTTCTTGTTCTTTCATCTTTAAGACTAAAAGCATTCCAGGCTTCTAGAAGTGTCTGCTCATTTATTTCTATAGTGCTTTATATAGTGCAGATTTCAAAGCATCTGCACAGGAATAAACAGGAAAATAACTGAATCACTAATGCAAAGTTGGGCTGCACGATACTGGGAGAATAATTCAATGCATTTCACCTTTATTTGTATAGCGCTTTTATAATGTAATTGTGTCAAAGCAGCTTCACATAAAAGATCTTTGTAAATTGAAACAGTGTCAGTTCAGTTTTCAATGTTTAAGTTCAGTTCAGTTTAGTTAAGTGTGGTTTAATAATCACTACTGAGAGTCCAAACACTGAAGAGCAAATCCATCGATACACAACTGAGATCCCGAACCACGCAAGCCAGTGGCGACAGCGGCGAGGAAAAAACTTTACCAATTGGCGAAAGTGAAGAATTAAAAAAATCTCATGAGAAACCAGGCTCAGATGGGCACAAGCATTTCTCCTCTGGCCAAACGTCTTGTGCAGAGCTGCAGTCTAGGCGCCGGAGGCTGGAGAATGCTAGACCTCAGCGAAGACTCGTTTGTCCCTGGAGTGTCACAGGAATCAGTCTCATGCTCTCAACTCCTCCATGACCACCGCAGCAGCTGCTCAGGATACGGCCTGGTCCAGGATTATGGAAACCTTGGGATCATCTCGTCGCTGGTCTTGGATCGAATCAGTGGCACTGCGTGGTCTGAGGGCCTCGGGATGAGTATCCCCAGGTGGAAATAGAGAATAAAGAGAATAATTAGTGTAGCTGCTGTTCATAGTGTATATAAACGAGATGCAGAAACCTGCGTGGGGCACATTCATGTATCATACCACTGAGTGATCCACTGAGTGTATGTTTTGCTAAAAAGAGAGGTCTTTAATCTAGTTTTGAACTGCGAGAGTGTGTCTGAGCCTCGGACATTATCAGGAAGGCTATTCCAGAGTTTAGGAGTTATAAATGAGAAGGCTCGACCTCCTTTACTCGACTTTGCTATTTTAGGTACTACCAGAAGCCCTGAGTTTTGAGATCTTAAAGAGCGTGTTGGATTTTAGCGTGGCGAGGCAGTGGCACAGTAGGTAGTGCTGTCGCCTCACAGCAAGAAGGTCGCTGGTTCGAACCTCGGCTGTGTCAGTTGGCGTTTCTATGTGGAGTTTGCATGTTCTCCCTGCCTTCGCGTGGGTTTCCTCCGGGTGCTCCGGTTTCCCCCACAGTCCAAAGACATGTGGTACAGGTGAATTGGGTAGGCTAAATTGTCCGTAGTGTATGAGTGTGTGTGGGTGGATGTTTTCCAGAGATGGGTTGCGGCTGAAAGGGCATCTGCTGCGTAAAAACTTGCTGGATAAGTTAGCGGTTCATTCCGCTGTGGCGAACCCAGATTAATAAAGGGAGTAAGCCTACAAGAAAATGAATGAATGAATGAATGAATGAATGTAGCGAGACAGAAGGTTGGTTAAATAAACAGGAGCTAGAATATTTAAAACTTTATGGGTAAGAAGCAATATTTTAAAATCAATACGAAACATAACAGGCAGCCAGAGTAGGGAGGATAAAGTTGGGGTGATATGATCATATTTTGCTGTAAAATTGTAAGTTAACTCAGCTTTTTATTGTTTTCAGCGGTAAACGCTCAAATTAAGAAATCAAAATTCAAAATTACCTCAACTGATTTTTTCACTTTAATTGAACAAACAGTTCCAAACATGCAGGTAAATCGTTGGTAAATATAACTCTGAGGTCAAAAATATCTCCATCTAACTTACAATTTTAAACTGAGTTAACAATCTGTAAGTTGGATTTTTTACGGTGTGCCTGATTGATATACAATATAATTTGGGTCTCAGAGAAGAACTGCATTAAATTACATTCTTTCCTGCTATGCCTTCAAAATATGAAAATGTATTTTAGCCCAGTATTTTCAATGGAGTTTTTGCGCTAGTCTGCTACTAATGAAGGCGCTAGGATTTGCAGGGTCTTTCATCATGTTTTGTGCCTGAACAACTAATTTATTGCTTAAATCTGTTTAACTGATTGTATTTTAATTACATTTCAACATCGATGCTGTAAAAGGGAACCTTATGAAATTGAAAATACTCACATTAAGCTTTCACCAGCTAAAAAACAGCTGTGCATAGAGCCCATTTTGGTTATTCAATGGGTATTGTAGAATTCATCATTTATCAAAGTAGTTCACTTAACACTATAAAGCATCTCAGTGTAATTTATGTCTTCTTTTCATCGCTCGGCATCAAATCGATAAAATCCATATGTGTGAAGCCATCTGATCTTCTCTCTATCTCCTCCAGGGTCACTGATTGGTCAAGCCAGAGATCATGAAGTGGAACCTCTTCAAAAAGAAGCCCGAAGCCATGGTGGGTCCAGAGCCCACGGGCCCAGGGGGCACCCACCCATCCCACACCATGACCATGGCCCCTGCCGTCTCCACTCCGGCGGACAACTCCACCGAGTCTGAGGGCACCGTCAACAAAAACGACGTCTTCGAAGAGATCAAAAGCAAGTTCCTCAATGAGATCGATAAGATCCCATGTAAGTCCTGCACAGATGCTTTACAGTCTTGAGCTGTTCCAGCGTTATGGATGTGACATCTGCAGTAAAAACTTAGCTTTAATTCACCGATAAAGTATCTGTTAACATTATATTAAAACATATAATTATATTTTTCAAAACTACAAAACACAGATATACGGGATCAGAAAAATTTAAATCTGTACACATTTCTTTATGTTTTAAATGAGGGAAATAAATATGCATTATGAATGTGACGGAGTTTACAGATTACATCATACTTTGTAGAAATTCTGTGAATTTAACTGCACAACCCAAAAGAAATAATGCTAATGAAGCATAAGGGTTGACTGTCTATAGCAGTATCACTGTGGACCGGTCATCGCTTGACAATTTTACCACGGACCAGTGGACGGTGGTTCGTAGGTTGCAAGGGGACCACCACTTACAATTACAAAGTGTTAACTTTATTTTAAAAGGGTCGTAAACTGATAAACCAAAATACCCTTAATTTGTTTACATACAAGAAGTCTTTAGAACTCAGAACTCAGCTTATATTAAAGGCAGTCTACCAAAACAACTGGTTCTGGAGTCTTCTATTCAATGACGTAATAGAGTGGATAAGCTCCACCTCCACATATGATTGACACCTACTTCTACTGTACTGCCTGTTTCGCTCTTTTAACATGCAAAACTGTTAGCCAATCAGAGCAGTGGGTGGTTACTTTTGAGTCTACAGTCCGCCAAGCCCCTTTTTAAAAAGATAGTTTTGAAGAGGGGGTCAATACCAATACAAAAAAGTAGTATAAAATTTTTAATTATGATGTTCTTGATTTAAAAATCATGATGACATTATAAGTGTAGCTTTGGGAACAGTCCAGATAGAGGGAATATTATAGCACACCAGTTTATTTCTGTACTAAAAACTAAAGTACTATATTTATTACAGTAGAACAGTTCAGTACAGTTATTACAACATTATGTTGTAAAATTTAATTCAATATAATACACTTTACTAATATGGGTCAAAATTGGTGGTTCATTCTGCTGTGAGTAAGCATGTATGGGTCAGAACAACTATAATTTCCTATTGTACTTTTTAATGTGGGCAGCTTTAATTTAGCAAATGATAGCATGGTTAAATGTGCAATATTTCATCATATTGAGGCTTGCTATTTGGTTATTCACCATCAAGAATACACGTTGCTCATCTTCTGAATAAATCTGTCTGAATTTGTTCCCATGATGCTTTGCAGTGCCTCCATGGGCGCTCATCGCCATCGCTGTAGTGGCCGCCCTCCTCATCCTCACCTGCTGCTTCTGTATCATCAAGAAATGCTGCTGTAAGAAGAAGAAGAACAAGAAAGGCAAAAAGGGAAAGGACGGCTTCAACATGAAGAACATGCAGGGCGGAGATGTATGTAACAGGGCATCTGTCATGACAGCGTTTAATAATAATAACTTCAGTTTGATTGTAGAGTTAAAACCATATGATATGTACTTCTTTGTTAACATCAGCTCAAATTAGTGTTGCTTCATTAAGAAATGCAAACAAGCATCAGACCACTTTAGTGTGGGTTAAACTAATGAAGGAGAGTCTGTTATGTGATTAGCTTCATGGTTTGCTTTATTGTGTTCGTCAGTAATTGTGAGTGTTTCGTTTTCTTTGAAGAGAAATGACGCACTAGATGTTCCAAAACAAGAGTATCGGCCATTTGATTATGATCATACAATGAAACAGAAGCTTTAAAGGTCATTCTATTAAATAAGTGTATATATTAAGTTATATGTAGTAAAATGGTTAAAACGCACCTATTTTACCCCTTTTACAATATGGAAAAAAAGCCTTTGGTGTCTGCAGAATGTGTCTGTAACATTTCAGCTCAAAATACCCATCAGATTATTTATTATAGCCTCCAGAATCTGCCCATTTTGGTTTCTGAGTACAGTGTAGATTGTTTTTGTAACCTGTGGCTTTAAATGCAAATGAGCTTCTTCTCCCCGGCCACTGCTCCTACGTGCGTGTTTACTCATCATGGGTTACGATACAGATAAACAGCAGTCAGTGACAGAGACAGACTCAGATGAAGCTGAAATACAGCTATTGTTATAATAGTGCTTTTGAGCAAATCATTCAAGTGAACTCAAAAGGCTGTCACACAATATATCATTGAATGAATCAGTGTTTTGAAATGAATCTACTGAGTGAATGATTCAGTGGCTCACTCATATAGACAGTCACTTGATGTATGGTTGAATCAACTAGTGCTTTTGAACAAATCAGTTGAGTGAATGATTCATTGATTCAATCATAACATTTAATTGATTTATTACTGAATTAATTATTGAACAAATCAGTAAAGTGAATAATTTAGAGATTAACTCAGAAGGACAATCAAATGATTTATCATTGAATGAATCAGTGTTTTGAATGAATATGTTACTGTAAGTGAATGATTCACTAAGTCACGAGTCATGAGGCTGTGTTCAAAATTACATCAATGTTTTCAAAGTGCACTGCGAAGGGAGCACGGTTGTAAACACGAAGATTGCTAAAACTGAAAGGTAAAAAATACTTTGAAAGCAAATTACAACTTTATTTTTAATCATTCCAAGTTTAATGGTTCTAAATGAATCGGACATATGGGGGATAAGTGGGAATAGAACACAGCAAGAAACTATGCTTCTAACTACAGCTCCAGGGGTATATGTGCGAGTGCTCAAGTTTGCAACGCAGTTTGCGAATGTTCGTTGGATCGATGGATTTGGGAAACGCAAAATCAACAAACTATGTTTGTAACGACTGAACTTGCGATCTTAATTGGCTAACGATTTTCAGAATTGCACCCCAGATGAGTTATCACTTAATGAATTACTGCTTTTGAACAAATCAGTCAAGTGAACGATTCAGACTCAAAAAGCAATCGCGATATATCATGGAATGAACGAGTGTTTCTGAGCGAATATATAATGAAACTAACGTGATTTATTGCTAAATTAATTCTTTTGAATTAATCGTTTTCAGTGTATTTTAAAGCTTGCTTAAATATGCCAGCCACTGTCCAGCTGTAATGACTAAAATCGAATACTTTGCACAGTTAATGCACTATTTATTTTTTCAAAAATTTATTTTCTTTATTTCGTTAGCATAGATGCTCACTTTAGGGTATTCACTGTCGATAAATTCTTCATCTGCAGTTTAAAACACATTTTATAGCATGGCTTTTAAAACATTTGTATGCCAAACCTATATATTGCATCGCAGTGTGTCATTTCTCAGACTAGTGCTCTTGGTGTTGTTCACTGTCTTGACTGTGTTTCGTTCTGTTTTTCGGTGTGTCGTGAGTTCAACCTCTCCCTCTCTCTCTGCTCTCCTTCCTCCCGCTATGTGTCTAATGCGCCGCATTTCTTGACGCTCATGGCGTCGGCGCTACGGTAGGTGGACGGATGAACGGCACAGCTGTTTGGCAAGCACCGCGTGGGTGGGATTGGATGGAATGGCTGTTGTAACTTCCTTGTTTTAAGCCTTTTGTACCTGCTGCTTGATGACAATACAATTAAAAAAACAAAGGAAAGTTACAATGCAAATGGAAAGTGGACCAAAAAAATAACAATAATGCAATAACAAAGAGGCATAATTATGTAGGAGGTCTGAATGGAATAACTAATTAACTCACTAATCCTGTTTAGAGTTAGTAAGAGAAGACCCACAAGACTCACACTGAATGCATGTGTTAAAGGGCACGGCTGTTGAGTTGCACTAAAAGCAGTAAGACGTAAATGTAAAACATCATGCTTGTCATGAGCTGTTCGCTGTTTATGATCATATAATCAGTTGAATTTACTTTAACAAAAAACAAGTCATTTATTTTTTTAATACATGAAAAATTTACCAATTTGTTTTTAATTCTCGTACATTTCCTGCTGTGCCCTTTAATTTGTTGATATATGGAAATGGTTAGGAACTGACTTGAGTGGCAATTTTCTTTGGTGGCACGTTACAAAAATTCTTTATTTTATCGTTAACATTGAAGATTTAGAAAATTATGAAATAACTTTTAGCACCAAATTGTAAAGTTCTTCTAATATACTGCTTTATATTACACAGATACAGTTGAAATTAGAATTATTATCCCCCCATTGATTTTCTTTTCTTTTTTAAATATTTCCCAAATTATGTTTAACAGAGCAAGGAAATTTTCACAGAATGTCTGATAATATTTTTTCTTCTGGAGAGAGTCTTATTTGTACAAAGACCCCAGAGGGGCCGTGATGGTGGAGGAAAAAATGGGTGGAAGAAATAAAAATGGGTGGGAGAAAAAAAAAAAACGAGTAATAGGTAAAGAAATTTTTTTTTAAGTTTTTGCATTTCCTTGCAAATATGTTTTGTGTTCCCTCGCAAAACTGTTGTTGGACAAACACTTCACTTCATACATGACAACCCTGTTTTTGCTGGGATTGTCCCATATTTTTACCATTATATCCTATTATTAGGTATTCTCCCATATTTCTCTCATATGTTTAATCTTGAAAGCATGTTGAAATTAATATAAAAATGTCTGAATTCACTTTCTTTCTATTAAAGCTGAGCGCCGATCAGCGCCCCTCATGCCACCTCTGAATCAGTGAATGCATGTATAAGCGCTGACTGATGAACGCGCTCAGTATGATAAACTGATCCCAGATCAGCTTTTGTACACGCCATTTAATGTGACACCTCTGTTATCAAACAAGTGAAGAGCATCACTCGTTTTGTTTTGTTTTCTTAGATAACAGAGGTGTCACTTACCACTGATATATAACGAAAGCACACTTTAACCTTTGTACTAAATTGTACGAATTAGATTGTACAAATTCATACGAATAAGCCACTAAATTAAAAAGTTACGAATTGCCCAACACAATCTCACGGCAATTCGTAACTTTTTGATTTAGCGGCTAATTCGTATGAATTTGTACGATCTAATTCGTACAATTTAGTACGACTTGCTCATCCCCCAATGACGGTTGGGTTTAGAGGTGGGGTTAGGTGCCACTCCTCCTTTTTAAAATCGTACAATTTCGTACAACTGAACTCGTACGAATTTGTACAAATTAGCCACTAAACTGGCAAAACATGAAATACTTACGTTTTCTCATGAGATCAGGCTGGAATTGCCGTAAGATTGTGTTGGTTTAAACACACACCCGAATCCCAAATTGTCCTACACTTTAGCTCCTCTTTAAATGGTGTGTACAGCTGATCTGGGGGTCCGTCAGCGCTTATACATGCATTCACTGATTCAGAGGTTGCATGAGGGGCGCTGATCGACGCTCAGCTTTAATGGAAAGAAAGTGAATTCAGACATTTATATACTAATTTCCACATGCTCTTCAAGACCAACCATACGACTCTAGTTGAGCCCCTAATAACTGATTTATTTTATATTTGCCATGATGGCACTAAATCACATAGACTATATTTGTCTAGTTAAATATGAATATACTGTCCAACAACAGTTTTCCGAGGGAACGCAAAACATATTTGCAAGTGAACGCAAAAACTTTCAAAAATATGTTTACCTATTACTC